TTGTATATTTTTTTTTTAAAGGACTGGCTTATTATTTTACTATCATTCTGATTTAAAATGCATTTATTCAAAACCTGTTTACTCCAGTAATAATCTTCAATGCACAAATGTGTTTTAATGTTTGAACTTTATTAATATTTCTATCAGAGCAAACTACGTATGTTAGGGACCATGTTGAGTCTAACTTTTAACTAATTTGAAACAAAACTAATGAATGGTGCTAGAAAAGTTTTCTGTTGATTATAATGGTATACTGCTTATTAAGCACCTTTTTGACACAAATATTGGATAAGCTAGCTTGTGTTTTAACAATTCTGAGACTAAACAGATATCAATATGTTTAAGCCAATAAAATGTAAACAGAGGATGCTTGGAGTAAATAAAAATTACTATATTTAAGCATGTAGATTATTGCTTGCTCATTTTGTATGAAAAAAACACAACTTAAGTATATAAATTTTTTATTTTAACAAATTGCATTAATTTTTCTAACAGGGTGATTAACTCATAGTTTTAGTTGTCACTTGCATTAGTGGAGGTTGACACGATACAAAATATTAAGTAGGAAATTGATGATTTCCTTAAAAATAAAGGCAGAGTATTATTTTATTTGGTGTTGAGTGTACAGGGACAGTCTTCAAGAACCAAATTCTCTTGAATGTTATGTTTGTAAAAAAATATCTTAAACTTGATGAGTTTGTAATATATAATAGTGGAAATTGTCAATTTGATAAACATTTGTTTTAGGAACCAAAAAAGCTTTTATGAATTATATAGATGAAGTTCCAACAGTGCATGTGGGCATGCATTTTTTTACATGCCATTGTTGTGTACAAACCAAATTCGGTGCTATGTATGTGGACAAACATTTGGTAACAGAATAAATGTCACCTGCTTATTTGAGGGTCTTGGGACACATTCTCATTGCCACAAAATTTGTTTGCCTTGTTTTTGTTATGGTAAAACTTCTAAGGCTGCCTACCACTGTCATAAATTTACAACTGGTGACTAGAAGGAAAAACTGGCTGGCAGCACCTACCAATTTTTTAATCTTTTTGTATATACTTTGATTTGAAGAATAGTGTACTGCTCAATTAATCAAGTGTAATAGCTTAATGGGGTCGTTGATAGACAAATACTACTAATTTCCCAGCTCTAATTTGCAGTCTGTCTCACTAATTTACTGGTGGATATTCCTAATGCATTACATAGAAAATGAGTGCTTTAGCGTAATTGTTTTTGGTGAGTTCTTTACAGAGTGTTGTAACAGATAAACATTATTATTTATGATGCAATATATGGATACCACGAGTAGTAAATGGTATGTAAACAAGCCAGTAATTTGAATTTGAGAGTTAAAATTATGTTTTGAGTGAAATTGGCTGTGGTTATTGAAATCAGAAAAAGTTAGATAACGAGGTAAGTAGCACTTAGATGATATATAATTTTTTATTACAAAACATACAAGTTTTATATGCAGAGGCATTGGAACCAGAGGTACAGTAGCATCCCCAGTTTTACATATTTGACTTAAAAAGTAACTGTAAATTATATTATTATATTTATTTTCTGGGGGAGAATGCCCCCAGACTCTCCTAGATTGAGCCATCTTTGGCAGCCGGGAGCTGCTTTTAGCAGTTCCTTATACTTTGCACCCCCACTTTGTAACTCCTTCCTACACTACTGATATAAGAAAACATATTTGTAGTACTATAGGTGTTGGTGATATATTAAATTCTTTATCCATTAAAATGCCTTGTTTAACTGAAATTTTTTTTAACTGCCACCTTGTTTGTTACATCCTGCCTTGGTTGAAAATATGGTATCATTGAGTTATAGAAATTGTAGAAGATAATTTTTTGTTCTTCCACACATTAAAAGAAATATTTCGAGTTGAAATTGATTTATTACAATGGATTCATTTCTTTATTTTATACAGAAAATTCTAATTTTGATTTTGGATTAATACTAGTTAGCTCCAAATGAATGCAAATGTTTGTGTATATCCTGAAGTTTTCCTGAGCATAATTTGACAATATTAGCTCTCTAGGAGGAAAAATGGAATAGTTTTGAACAAAATAGCACCAATTTAAAAATGGTTAACTTAAATAAAAAGAGTACTTTTTATTAATTTTGCCCAATTACTGTTTTCTCAACCTTGATAGTCATGATGTGATGTAATTGCCTATATTTTGGCATTGTGAAGTCATAGGCTAGTGATTTAAGCATTTCACGTACTTTTCAGTTTAGGATAGATCCAGGTAGAGATTGGAACAAAGTTTAGCTCTTTGATTTGTTGACAAAAGAAAATGATTTTGAACAACTTCTGACACAATTTGTAAAGCTTGCTTTGTTATTTTATACTTCATTTGAATTATGATGTTATAGTATGATAGAAAAATAAACATTTTTCATGAAATAAGATGAGATATACTTAGTTAGGTCATTTTGCACTCAACCATATTAAGTTTCGTTTTTTCAAACAAGCTGGTCTTTGTTAGACTGTTTACATTAGGTCTTATTATTTAAAATAACTTTTTAAATGGGAAAACAGAATTTTATATTAATTATAGTTTAACTGTCCTCATTATAACCTTAATATAGCATAATGTATCAGAATCTGGTGGTTTACAAAAGTTGTAGCTTCTTGGAAGCATCAGGGACATGTGCTTTCATTTTGCAAAATAAGAAATTGACTTTTGTTTTCAGGTAAGTGACCTTAGAGTGAATGTAACCTCCATCCCAATGAAAATTGACTCAAAAATGATCAAATACTCCCTTATCTCAATACATTTTGAGTTTTCAGATGAAGCACATGCACCAGTTTTTATTAAATTGTGCTTCTTTCATGGTTACTGTTTGCATAAGCTTTAGCTGCACATTGTTTAAAAGCCTCTTTTAAAGTTTTATATTTTCAGGGTAATGTAGAAAACTAAAGTGCCACACAAAAAATATACTATTCCAGCACCATTGATTAACTAATGTACACAGTAATGGTTATGAACTTTCAAGTTTGTGTCAGCCATTGCCAAAAGACCAATTTCACTGTTTCTGTAGCATTTGCCAAAAGACAATAACTTTAAGTAATTATGGCAAACAACAATTCTTAGACCATGTACAGGGTGTTAGACGCAAAGAACTAACTAAGGTGGAGTTTAATTCTAATCAGCAAAAACTGTTCCACAGAACAGAATGGAAACAAATCCATTAGTGGTTAGCTTTTTTGCCAGCCATACTACAACATTTTCTACCAGTTGTTGCTCATCTAATACAGTGACTAATGCTTTGAAGTTATTTTGAAGTTCTGCTCTTAAGTTAACCTTACCACGGCCCTCCATTTTGAAAAACTTTTCCGTACTGAAGTCCTAATTTTTCCTCTGTGTCCTACTGAAAGGCCTGCAATCATGTAAAAGAAATGTAAAATAAACTAGGAACAAAAATTTTATTCTAAAATTGATGGGATGGAAAAAGATCAGAAAATATGGAGCATTTGGGATGGAAGGAAAATCTGCATGACTTTCCCTTCCATCACAAATGCTCTCTAGTTGCTGATTGTTTTCCATTCCTACATCCGATCAATTTTAGAACAAAATTGTTTTTTCTATCTACAAACTAATTCTCCCTTCCGGGAGACTAATGGCTTGAGTTGTGATTGGCTGGTCACCAGATTCAACTCAACAGGGACCTCCGGTTTACATGAGGTCACACTTCCTAGTATATATTGCATTGCACAGGCTAAAGGTCACCCTTTGTTCTCCTGAAAAAGAATAGTCAACTAATCGAAAGCGCTCGAGTTTTGGGTCTTATTTTAAGTCTATTACACTTTATATGTGATCAGTTGTGCTAACTCTTTTATCAAAATTTAGTAACTGTTCTTTATTCTTCTAACAGGTTGAGGTCAACATCACATCTCAGTTGACTGTCTTTTGTTCTTTTAACAGCTGATGATGAACATTACATCTTTAAGTGATTGATGTTTGTAAAAATGCAGACAGTAGAGTGAAATCTTTGATTTCATTTTTGTACAGCCACAAACAGAAATGTGTGCTGACAGATTCAATAAAACTATCTTGTGCTTGGTATTCACATTTTTTAAGTTGAACTATCAAGAAGATGGGGAAAAACTTTATATAGGAGCAGAAATTTTTTAGTGGTAAATACTTGTTATAAACATACAACTTGCATGTTTCAAAACGTGTCGAATCTGATAAGATTATCAACACAGGTTGATTGATATGCATATTGGGAAATATTTATTAATCTGTATCATTGCATATATTTTAAGCTGTAGCTGACCTATTGTGGATCACTTGGGGCTCTTGGTTTGAAAGGCACATTTTAGGGAGTAGAGAAGTGTTTTGGTATGCAGACTGGAACTAGGCACACTGGATTATGAGTTACAGCTGGTGGAAAGGAAGAAAGATGAAGAAAATCAATGTCTTTGCAACCTGTTTTCTAGATGTCAAGAAAGATTAGGCAAACTTTAGGGGCAGTTTTATACTTAATTAGTGAAGGGCTTTTTGCTGTCTTTTTGGCTAAGTTTTGTTGATATCCTTGTGTCCGCTCTACCATGTTCAAAATGTAAGTGCCACCAATTTCAACCAGACCCATACCTACATAGGGGTCGCTACCACACTTCCTGATAGATAAATATGGGCATGTCAGAAACTATAAGGTTTTGAAATACTATTACTATCTCCTCAGAGTTTGACATAAAATTGCTTGTGACACATGGTGTTGTTGGTAGCAGTAAAACTGCCTTTGTCAAATAAATAAATGCATGTATGGAAAGAAAATGTGCATTAGTATTTTTGTGAAATAAATTTTATTTTGCATTTCTGGTAATATTCAATTATATTTTTGTTTCAGGTAAAGCTCCAAATTATTGGGTAGACAATAAGCATTAGCTTTAACCATGTATATAGTATTAATGTCTTATTAATTTTTAATTTTCTAGTAATAATGCTGAAAACTGAATGTTAATACATTATTATTTTCAGAGATTTCAAAAGTTAGAAGCTCCTTATTACAGAGAAATGGAGCAGAAATGGAACCAGTTGTTTTGCCACCACCAGAGGGCCAGCCTATCACTCTTCAGGAGAAAGTCTTTGTTCCTGTTAAGGATTATCCTGATGTTAGTGTATTTCAAAACCTTCTTTACTGATTGAGAAAAATCCTTCTTAAATTTAAATGTAAAGTTTCAGAATTAAATATCTTGAATACTAGTTCATGTGCTGACAAAATTTGAACTAAAATAAACTTTTGAGAATTTACTTACCTTTTTAACATAAATAAGTGTTTTCTTAAACAATGATTGGTTAAATGTGTTTGTAAGAGTACAGTGAGTAAACCAAAAGTGTATCTAATTCTGACATTTTTGAAGTTTTGAACTAGTTTACTGAAGGTGTTACATAAGCTTCATGTCAAAATATTGCAAAAGTAACTTATCAAGACTGTGATAGTATTAAATCTGCACTTATTCAGTTGCTACTCTTAAAAACATTTCTTAATAACATTATTGGGATTCTGGAAGGTAAAATGAATTAGAAGAGAAAATAAAAAACAAACAAATTCTATGTTATTCTGGTAAAGAACAATGCAGAGAAAATAATAGTACAGGAGCTGCACAAGTAATAGTTTGCTACATCATAAAAACTTGAAATACTTTGTTTAAACTTCAAACATCAAATGCTTGACAACCTTTTGATTTTGGGTGTGATAACAAATTAACATTTTTAAAACTTTCTTAATTTTTTTAATTTATTTTTTTAATGAATTTTTTATTGTTAAAATCATTGGTTATGATTTGTTTGGAATTGTACTCATTTTTTAAGCCATTATATAGTGGTGTGTGTGTGGTAATACTTATAGAGCTGTTCGCAATTTCTAGTTCCAATTAGCCTGTAAAAAAAATATCGACAAACTTTTGATTTATTTATTTTAAGTTGATTGACTCGGTTGGTAGCATTTAAGAATACATACAAAAGTGAGAAGAAAATTTTGACTTATTTCATTACAATTGATACAAATTTCCTCTTGAAATTAAAACTAGAGAACAGGAACTTGCAGAATGCTGCCTTATTGTTAGTCAGGTGCATTATTTTTTTAACATGTAAAAGTATTTATCCCATGATAGTCAACAAGAAAATTAAAGCAAAATAAAAAGTAATCTCAAGATAAAAAATTTATGTTATTGTCTACACCTTTACCATTGACATTCTGTATGTATGTTGCATATTAACATTTCTGAAGGACATGATCTTTATTGTTACAAGATAGGCCAATAACACCTGATTTCATACCACTAATAATTATTTCCCTATACTTCTCATGGTCTGGTGGTTAAGGTGCTCGACTTGCATACAGAGGGTTGCAGATTCGAGTCCCCCTCAAACCAAAAATGCTGGCCCTTTCATCTATCGGGGCATTATAATGTAATGGTCAATCTCACTATTTGTTGGTAAAAGAATAACCCAAGAGTTGGTAGTGGGTGGTGTTGACTAGCTGCCTTACCTCTAGTCCATCACTGCTAAATTAGGGACGGCTAGCACCGATAGCCCTCATGTAGCTTTGCTAGAAATTCAAAACAAATGAAACTGACCCTATACTTTTCCATTTCTGAATTATTTACTTATTGATGGACTTCTGAATCATCCTGTATGCATGTTTTATAAATGAAATTTCTCCACTGGGCCAGTAATAACTTAGTGTTTGTGTGTTCTATAAGTAAGGTACACTCTGTTATTTCTTTATTGTTACTTTAATTGAAAGTATTGGTTAGAATGCTGAATATATCTAATTTCATTACTTTTTAATTTTATTTTTTATCATACTTTTATTATAGAGATCATTTTGTATTGTTAGGACTAACCTAAAACTCCTAAATTAGCCAAATCTTGCGAGGTATTGATTGAGATTACAACTTAAATTTTCATTGACAATGAGGATACCCAACTGATGAAACAAGGCATTCTAATATTGGAGTAACAGCATAATAAAAGTAGATTCAATTAGCTGTTCTTGTTACCAGGTTGATTTTTAATTTTGCTCTAAGTAGGTAGCTTGCTGTGATGGGAAGTCCATATTAATTAGGAGTATGAAATTTCAGAATTACATGTAAAGTAACTGTAGGTTTACAGTAGTGAAGTTTAACAGTGTTTTTTTTTATCGTTTTATTAATAAAGCACATCAGGTTTTAAGAATTATCATAAAAATGATGGATAACTGTTTTAATTGTGTGGTTGTGGTTATATTTTGACAAAAAATGGGGTAGGTAGGTCCTGAGTGCTGGGGTTTGAATCCTACTGCTGGTGGAAAGATATTTTTAATTAGTTTTAAAAACATTAATTAAAACAAAATGTAACAGTAGGAAAAAAACAGTCAAGTCGTATAGAAGGGCAAACCCTGTAAAGATATAATGTAAAAGTAGTTAAACAAGAAAAAATTGGGATAAAAAAGAGCCTGTTTTCATATTCACGTTGCTACTTGTTCCAGTTGTAATAAAAAATTTGAACAAATATTCCCTGATCTTTTGTGATTTTTTTTAACTTACTGACTTTGTCATAATATCTTTATTAGGATTTAGGATTGCCCATTTTATAGACGTTTGTTCTTTTTATATATATATATATATATATATATTATATATATTAGGTCGTCAAGAAATTAATGTTGCATTTTGAAACACTTTCTTTAACCTACCCCCCCAAAATGTACATCATGTATAATAGTTAAACAAACCTCCTAAATGTCATGTTATTGTAGCCTGTATAATGTGTACATTTAGATATACTCTTATCCCTTATAGCGATTGCACACAACGAGACACACATTTGGCATGTAGTGCTGTTTGAATACAAGAAGGGGAAAAATGCCTCTGTAGCCACAAAGAATATCAAACAAGTTTATGCAAATGTTTTGAACGTTCGTAAATGTGAACGATTGTTCAGCAAATTTCGTTCAAGTGATTTTAGCCTTAAAAACTGTGATGGCAGGGGTGGACATGTTGGAATTGATATTGATGCTCTGAAGATGCTTGTTGAGTCTAACCCAAGGCAATGCACTCATGAAATGGCCCTGAAATTGCATGTATCTCATGAAACAATACGTAAACATCTAAGGAATATGGGAAAAAGTCCATAAAGAAGGTGTTTGGGTGCCTCACAAACTCTCCGATGATCATTGTTTCCAACATGTGAACATTGCTTCGTCTCTTCTGGCACATAGTGCATGTGAACCATTTTTGGACAGAATTGTCACTGGTGGTGATAAAATGGATTCTCTATGCGAATATTAAACACCAAAAACAATGAATCAGTCCAAGACAAAAACCACTTCTAACCCCAAAACCTGGACTCTATCCACAGAAAGTGATTCTTTGCATTTGGTGGGACATCAAAGAAGTAATTCATTTCAAACTCCTCAATCCACAGCGAACTGCCAATGCAGAGATCTATAGTCAGCAACTTGAACGTTTAAATCAAGCCCTTCATCAGAAACGCCCTTCACTCGTCAGTCGGAAAGGTGTTTTTCTCCACGACAATGCACATCTACATGTGGCAAGTTTGATGCAACACAAGATTATGGAGTTGGGTTGGGAAGTTCTCCCCCCACCCACTATATTCTCCAGATATGGCACCATCATATTACCATCTTTTTCGTTCGCTGCCACACCATCTTAATGGAAAATCGTATGCAAATGTGGAAGGTGTTAGAGGTACATCAACATATTTTT